ATTACCAAGAAAATAACAGCAGAAGGTTGTTGCCAAAATGACCAATTTTTCTGTTTTCCTAACATATCATTTCTTGCAGTGGAATGACTCTTGAGTGTCCTCTCTTAGTAGCAAAGACAGAGAATGATGTCAGAGTGAGTGGATTGCCCCAGCCACCCACAGCACAGCTGGCACAAATTATTACGGTGAAAAGGGTTTGTGGAGGACGTGTGACGCTAGGTGATTTTCTCAAACTAAGCAGTGGTCTGCGGTGTTTTTTCCAACTTCTAGTATCTTTATCCGCCTACTCACGCACATAAAAGGACCACTGTGTGCTTGCTCTTTAAGCACCGGCACAAAATGTCTTCCACAAAGAACTCAAACTCTGACTGGTTATGACTTTGATGACAGCATGTCTTTTTATATGTTTTTCAAGAAATAAACTTTATACTAATGTTTCGTACAATTCCATGTATTTTTTAATGGATAGTGGAACTATCGATTAAATAAATAAAACTGAGTGTGAGAGAATGTCCTCCTTTCTTAATTGCAAATAATTAGTGTGGGAGTTAACTCACAATGACATCATGGATTTATAAAATGTATACGTTGGCTTGTATCAAACGTATCCAGTGTTTGATACAAGCCAAGCTATAATAAATTTAGAGCATTAACATCACATCAAACTATGTAAAGTATAGTGGAGTAATGTCTACCTCAGCAGATAATCAAGTCTCTCTCCCTTGTGTGTTTGTTGTAATCAGAGATTATCTGTGCTTTGTTTACATAGTAAACATGCCTCGTAGTGCATGTGAGTTCTGCATGGATGTACATGTTGAGGCCCACTGTCTATTTAATTGCCACTGCACTGCGGTCATGGTAAATGGTGAATGGATAAAGCACTTTAACACTACATGTCATCATTCACCCATTCACACACTGAATGGGTGCTACCATGCAAGTGGTAACTTGCTACCATGCAAGTTACCACTTGCCCATCAGGACTAAACATTCACACCAATCGGGAGCAAGGCCCTTCGACATGGACCGAAGAAGCTCTAAAAGCCAAAACCAGTGCAGTGATTACAGATTCATCTGCATGCATTCCTAAGATATCGACACTATCTGATAGAAGATGCTGACGCAGGGTCTCAGCAAATATAATACCATAACTGACAAGCTAGCAAAACAGGAAGTGTTGGATGACGCCCAATCTCACAAGCTTTTGTTTCTTCGGAATCAAGGACGAATTTCCTTTTTCTTGGAGCTTTTAACAAACATGAAAAGTGAAGCTGGTACACTGACTCCCACTTAGAATTCTGAAGAGAACAACAATCCCTCACAGCTGTGTGTGTGAGACAGACAAAGACAATGTGGTATCAGATATGGGTCTTGACATTTTATTAGAGTAATACTATGTTTCAATGAGCTATGACAGCAATGTTTTCTGACAAATGTGCTTTAGAGAAGTATTAACCTTGATTACTGTTGATTTCTCTAAAGGAAAATGCAGGATAACCACCACTCCACCTGGCTTGATCTTAACTAAGGTGCTGGAAGTATCAAAGAGTTCCAAACTTATAGAAGAGATATCCGCACACTTAGATCTATGCAGAGTATACTTTATTTGAGCTTTATCAAAGCATACATGAAGGTCCTTTAGACTGAATGCTCAAATAAAGTGTACCCTGCAGTGTGCGTATATCTCTTCTATCGATTTCGAAGGAAAAAGATATGGGGAAAGCCTGGCTCTCTATCCATGTAATGAACCAACTATTTTTTACTGCTACCAATAGTTTTATTACATTTTCCTTTGTGCTGTCTGTACTAGTGCCCTTTCATGCCTGTCATTGGCCACTGTGCATTAATACAGTAAACATGAAAGACAGCTGCTCCTCTCCTTTCTTCCAGGAATGGGCCTGAGAAAGTCATTAAGGCAGGACTCCAGCAGGCGGTGACGATTAACCCTGACTGTAGCGCTGTCTGACAGAGGCCCAAAGATCTCATACATTTCTATATAATACATCAAACCAGCCAAGTGAATGCAGCTCTACCCAATTGTAGATCACTTTGCTGGAAATATATAGGACACACCACAAGATATGAAGAGACCAATTTATTGTGAGACACCTGTGACCTGGCAACATGAAGGTTTTCTTCCCCAGAAGTTTGGTTTAATCTAGTCATCCTGTAATTATTTTTATTTAATCAAATTCCAAAAATGAACCCAAGTAGTTGCGTTAGATTTAGTTGTTTCTCTCTCTCCCTGTGTGAGAGTGTACTAAAGGCTCTCACTGTGCTTTTATAAAGTGAAAAGAATTGCATTTGTATTCAGTCCTTCCCGTCAGAGGGTTCCTTGGTATTGAAAGCCACAGTAAGCTTTGCTACCGCTGGGCCCCTCACTACCAGGAAGGGAGGGTGAGGGATAATGGGGACCGGGGAACATGTTCTAGCCCAGTGCCAGACAGATATCCTAGCCTGTTCCACAGTAAGAAAATCAAAATCCACGTGAAAGGACTGTATCACATTAAACAACCAGTTTTACCCAAGTTACTACAAATCATGTACTGTTTACTGAATATAAAGAATTCCTGACCATTTTGCAAAGCATGTTAAAGTAGTTAATAATGATAATAATAAGAGCAATGTGCGGCACAGTGGTTAGGTAAGTTCTCACCGTGTCAGCGTGGGTTTTTGTTGGGTTCTCCATCTTCCTCCGTCCAAACACATGCAGCTCAGACATGCAGCTCAGTTTACTTGATGACTCTAAATTGCCGGTAGGTGTGAATGTGAGCGTGAATGGTGCTAGTGTGGGATAGTCTGGCGACCTGTCCAGGGTGAACCCTGCCTTTGCCCAATGTCAGCCGGGATTGGCATCACTTTGGGCGGCTGTGGCTCAGTGGGAGAGCGTGTCGTCCTTCAATCACAGGATTGGCGATTCAATCCCCGGTGTCAATGTGTCCTTGGGCAAGCAAGACACTTAACCCTGTTAATCCCGTAGGCTGTTTCTGCAGTGTATGAATGGGTGTGAATGTTAGGCCATGTCCACACTACTCCGTTTCCATTTGGACGCTCGAAAACGGATACGTTTAGAAACGATGACGTAGACACCCGTGTTCGCTACTTGATTGGTTCTTAGCAGTCACGAGGCGTCCTTCCCTGATTCGTCACGCCCCTATCACGTGACCCTTACCCGGAAAATCACAAACAACAACAGACTTGATTATCGATCGACTACCAGGTTAATTCAACATGGACAACTGATTACAGGCGTTGCTGACCTTGTTGTCTTTACCAGCAGCTGTTGTCCCGTTAAAGTTAAACTCATTTTTGCGGAGGAAGCAGCTGTTATTGGAGCTATACCATTTACCATTTACGTTGTTCTACAAGTATACACTATATGTTAATGGTAATGCAGTTGTGAGTGCAGACTGGTTTTCGAAACTCTACACTACATTGCCACACAACAATATCTTTGGCAATGATAAAAACAGACTAAAAGTGTCAGTTTTCAGTCACGTTGGAACTTCATGTTTACTGTAGTTAATACAGTATATACAGTCTATAAATTCCACAGTTTTAACTCTTTTTCAGTTATGTTTGGGGATTTAGCATGTCTCTAAATAACTGAGTCTATAAATAGACCTCAAGTTCACCAGATGTCTGAAGAGTGGAGGTCCTGGCTCATGCACTAAGCTGCAGCGTCTGTCAGATCCACAATAAGGCTATCACAGTCATCACATCCAGCAGGCTTCTGGGGGGCCACAGAGTATATATGGCCCATGCTTAGAAGAATGGATGGATAGATAGATCCACAGATGATTCATCTCTTAGCCCATTTTTTAAATTTAGGATGTGTCCTCACTGCCAACATGGTGACAGCCGGAGGTGGAGCTTCAAAACGGCACTTCAGAAACCTATGGGTGATGTCACTGCGACTACGTCCATACTTTATGATCTCAATATATGATTTCATCACAATATGATTCCATTTATTCCATTGACAGATGATATGTTATCATATTAAATTATTGCCCAGCCTGAGTTGGTGCATAGTAGCTGTGAAATGTTTTTGTGACCATTGAGGCTCAGGTGAGCTCTTGGCTCTTAAAGCTGTGCCTCACCTTCACAGCATTGGTCAACCTTTATCTCAGGCCTATTGTGTAGAGACAATAAATGCCTGTAGTGTGCAGCATTACCTGTAATATGAGTAACTTATTTAATGAAAAGGATTCAGACATGGGTGTTAGTTATTACAGTGCGCTAGATGCATCAAAGGGATTGCAGAGAGAAAAACAAAGAATAAAACCCTGAGGATCCAGCCCAGTGGTGGCAGGTGTTGAACTAGTCTCACGGGATGAAAACAATGCCATGGAAGGTGAATTAGGATGATTTTTTAATCACATTGCTATCGTAATGCGATAACAATATGATACGAAAGTCCCTGTATATGGAAACGCAGTTTGTGACTATTTCACAAAATGCTATTAGACTAGGTTGGAGGATCATGAGCTAATGATAACCATGTATATATGTTATGTACAGCAGCAAAGTGCTTTTGTCAGCAGTATTCGCAGCAACAGTTAATGTCCAACTTAGGGTTGGACACTGGAGCATTTCAAACACAAGAATGGGCATGAAACTCCCAGTTCAGCACTACAAACAACAAGACAGAAAATGTGAACTTTAATAGAGAATTAAGGCAGTGGGCTTCAAATCCTGCAGTCAACAGCATGTACAATTATTTGTGAAAGAGGGAAGTGAATTAATCTTGCTAAAACAATTGGTCCAAATTAGAAACTGTACCTACAATTTAAGCGTCACGGGCTCTTTGTGTGGTGGAAATTGTCGTAATTCAGGAGAAAACCTAGATTCATCCGCTGAATAACCTCAGCGGGACAGGCACGCACGCGCACTCCAGTGGCATGTATAATAACTGTCCCAGTCTGGTGACGTTACGGCCGGACGCTCCTTATTTGGGGAAGTCTCGCGCTTTTCGAGTGCTATAAGCATCGGAGTCAGTCAGACTACAGCGAGACAGAAGGAATCCTAGACTAGAAGCGGTGAACAGAGAGAGAGCGCGCAGCACACTTTACCTGGACTACATTACCTAAGAGAAACTTTACCCGACATGGTGACGATCAGCCTCCCAGCAGCTCTATTGACTGTCTTCTTTCTCTCCACACACTCGGCCTCAGGTGAGTCCTAATAATATGACAGTCCATGCGACCCTAACAAGGAATGCTTCGTTTTTTAAATCTTTTTCCTCAGATTACTTTCAGCATCAATAGCCATGTGTCATTTCAGCGTCTGTAATATTAAAGTAAGGGTTAAAAATATGTTGATTACGTTAAATTACTATGAGATGGCAACGTTAGAAATGTAGAATGTAGACTGTAAATGATGAAAACAGTGGCCTACAGTAGAAGGAAATACTATAGCATAAATAGGTTCAGTTATATATTGTAGGAGTAGTTTTATATTGTTGCAATGAGAATCAGAAAACACGTGGATTTATAGCAGGTCTGTAAAGGTTATTCTGTAGAACCATCAAGTCACAGTTTTCTTTACAATCACTTATCTTTTATGCTTTTCTTTGCTACTAATGCTTGTACTCTTATGTTTATATGTAATACTCGTACACCGGGTCAATCAAGAACTGAAATGTTTTTAACACAAATGAACATGCTTCGAAGCCTCTATCTTTAAGATGTGACAATCCACACTGTACAAATGTCATTATTTAAGAATACATTCAAATATTTGTATGTAATATGATCTCACTTTTCCTACCAATTTAAATCAAGATGACCTGTAACACTTAAATGCCCAGGTTCCTGTTCATACCCTAAAGAGAATCAAACAACTAGCTCATCGCTGTTATTGCCATCACGTTTACATCCAAGTTTATATCTGCTCATTGTGAGACTGTCTAGACCACCAAATCTGCTATCCATTCTGATTTTTAATTGCCCTATTTTTTAACATACTGTCTCTAATTTGTCACATTAAGGGCCTTAGACACCAGAATGTGCTCTGTTTGCCCACTTTGGCTAAAGGAAGCGTTGATAACCAGTTATAAGTCTATTGTGTCAATGATTCATTGGTTTGTTTTAGCCGAGCAGCCTTTAAATCCTCTATGCAGCGAACACACAGAAACTAGGCTTAACCTCAGACTGTTGTTATCAAAAGAGCTTTTCTCTTGTGTGTTCTTTGGGTGGTACACTTAGTCAGAAGACGCCTAGTGTATGGCTGCACGGTCACATTGTGTCTATATGACCACGGATCTCTTATTAACACTGATAGGAGCAACAGCTTTCACTCAGAACGTTAGGATCATTAAGATCTTCTCACCTTGTGCTGGGTTTAAACAGGTTTTATTTTTACTAGCTTAGCTTAGTGTGATCATATGTAATAGTTTTGTAAAAAAAACACACTTGTTAGGATTTTATTCCATAAAAGGTGTAGTTCAGTGTTTACAAAGTTGAGGGTCAAAATGCCTTATAGCCAATGTATCAAAAAGCAAAAATAATAATACTTTGTGCATGCATTGTTTTGCAATTTTTTTATGACTCATTATTTGACCTTCTACACCTCATATTGGGAATAGTATCTTACATGAACTCTTTTATTTCCAGGCTCCTATCCCCGAGCACAGAATGTCACTTGGAAATCCACCAATTTTAAAACTATTTTGAGCTGGGAGCCCAAACCATCAGCTGATTACTCCTACACAGTGGAGTTCTCTGCGTAAGTACCTGCATCTAAACGCTCGGCCTGTTGGCCCTTTCAAGAAATAACATTTCATTCCTAGCTTACTCAGGCAGTTTATTTGTTCCCCTCAAAGACACATTCAGGTTGTCAGTGTGTACTGAAGCACATTCCCCTCTGACATGCTCGCAGAGTAACCTTGAAGGAAAGATCGACGGCAGCAGGGCGTGATAAGAATCCATTACTGATCCAGTAAAAGATTGTACTGGAATGTTGATTTTAGGCTAGAGACCTTAAAAGAGAGCGATAACTAAAAGGCACACAAACCTTAATAATTCAATAAGAGAAAAATGAAAGAGGCAAGAACAATACCATATCAATATCTGACAAAAATCCAATTACAAATGCCAACAACTGTATCGATGCTCCCCATATGTTCAAATCTATACTCTTTTGTTCTCCTTTTTTTGCAAAGACTCCTATTCTGACCGTAATGTCTATATCTTAAAATGTATTTGTTCAGTGATATAATGTCCTGTAATCCATTCTCTTGTGTCTGGGCTTATTCTAATGTTCATTAGATTTCTGTGTGCATCCAATAGTCATGTTCATGTGACTTATTGAACTGTTGCAGGGTTGGTGCTGACAAACAGAGGAACCCTCACTGTATCCGGTCCAGCGTGACAGTATGTGATTTGTCCATCTCTCTAACTGACCTGAATGCCATCTACACAGCTGATGTCCTGTCTGAACCCCCACTGGAGGCCACCTCGGGTCTCATCGAGTTCCCTCACACCAGCTCGCCACGATTCTGCCCCTACAAAGACAGTAGGTCCTTCTGCTACCATCACATGGTTTTAATGTGTTGGAAATAACATTTCACTTGTGCAGCAGTCAGAATATCATAAAATAGTTTAGACACATGTTCAGACAGGTCAACAGTGGAACATAGCTGATTTAACTGGCACACACACACACACACACACACACACACACACACACACACACACGCACGCACACACACACACACACACACACACACACACACACATACACACACACACACACAGCCAGTGAAGAAAGTGTTATCTCCTCAGTTATAACACGTTTTCCTTACTTACTTAATTCTTATTCTCACAGTTTTGGCTATCATTTCTGTTATTAATAATTGTCAACTCATCACGTTAATTGCTGAGCTTTGGGAACAAGGTGACATTGCTAAAGAGAAGCCTAAAAGCAGTCAGAAAGAAAACAAAGGTGAGAAGCACAATGATTCCCCCAGCTGTTGTGAACATCCATCACAGTATGCAGACAACTTTCTTTGACCTGTATTTAAGATGGATTAAGAGGTGATGTATGTAGCTACAGAGATACTACACAGAGACTCCAAGAGCTGTGATTGGTCAGCTCTGGCTGCTTGTTTTCCTTTAGCATCACTAGCAACCTTTTTAGTGCCCACTTTCAATTTGACCTCCAAATTACGTGGTTTAGATTAAGGCTCCAACTAATGATTGAGTTCATAATCTATACATCTGCAAATGATTTGACCAATTATTAATCAATCATTTGGTCGAGGTATTAACAGAGAACTGTTGCCCAGTCATCAAATGTTACACCAACAGTCCAGAATGCAACATTCACATTTGAAAAGCTTAAAAATACAACACTATCTTCATGAGAGTTATGTGTGGAAATACAGCTTTTTAAAATGTCTGAACATAGCACTACACGATGGTTTGTTTTGTTGCCGAGAAAGTTGCCAATTAATCGACAAATATAATAAATAGAACTATAAACCATAAATCAACTAATTGTTGTAGCTCTAGTTTAGATAATGTGGACGTCTGACTGCTTGTGGCTTTTGACCTGTCTGACTTTGTTGCAGTGCTGTCATGTTCACATTACGATATAATACAGTAATAGTAATGACACACAAAACTATGACAATAAGGCCAGAGTTTTAATAAACTAAAATGATATTTGAGTTCGTCAAATGTGTAGAGAAGCTTATTTGCTCAGCTTTTTGGCCTTGAATGTCACCAAACATTTAGTCATTTAGGTCTCTGAACAGTGCTTTATATTCAGAGACATATGTCCAGATAAACAACCTTTGATCCCTTGTTCCTCCTCCTCAGCTGATATCGGCAGACCAGACTTCAAGCTGAAAGTAAGCGAAGACAAAAAGAAGACCACCCTATATGTGACTGACCCACTCACTGCCCTGTTTAAGGATGACCGCCAGCTGAACATCAGGGATATCTTCTCTCATCAGCTGCAGTATAAAGTCACCTATCGGAAAAATAAGAGCACTGGCAAGGTGAGTAACAGCAGACATTAAAATGTCTCATACACACATGAATAAGACAATACAAACTACATCTTTCCTTCTGTGTTGTCTGCAGAAAGTGTACATCTCTCAGACCAATGTAATAGAGCTGACTGATCTGGACCGAGGGGAGAGCTACTGCTTCAACATCCAGGCCTATATTCCCAGCCGCATCCAAAATCAGCTGGGAGACCTGAGCCAGACCCAGTGCTCCAACAACGACAACCAGTCCATCTTTGAAGGTGAGGTGTCATGCTTCTTATAGAGGTTGCAAACAGGAAACATGTGGAAAGGGAAGTCATTCAGCTACGTCCTTCCTCAGCGCACAAAGTGTCCCGAGTAAGACACGCAACTGAAAAGCTGCGCGGTGATCACAGTACTGACACACCAGTTCTCTGTCTGCCAAGTACTTCAATAGCAAGACACACACTCAGCAATAACCATGAGCTGAAACTCCATAGCTTTGGTGGTGCTACTTGTGGACGAAAGGAAATTCCACATCAAGTCAGAATTTAAAGTCCCAGTGAAACAGAAGTTAAGCTTCTGAACTCGGACATATTCCCCAGTCAGACTGAATATCTATGCACTAAAATATGGGCGCGCTCAAGATGTGGTGCGATGCGGAAATAAAGAGACCAGAGACACACACACCTCGCTTTTAGCTAAAATTGTAGATTGATTGATGGATGGATATTATTGGTTGCAATTGTGTGTCTCTTCATTCTGTGTGGAAAAGTATGATCTTCTTTTCATAAATTCAACAGCTCCATCTTGCGTCAGCAATACGTGATTATATCTTTGTAGGTGGCGTATTCCTGAAAGTGCCTCTGGGTGGTTATCACTGATTGGTGAAAGAAAAGACACACACACACACACGACTGCTGCAGGTCCACACATCTCTAAGAGGATGATGGGACAATGGGATGAAGTGCTGTGTGTGTGTGTGTGTGAGACAGAGAGAGAGAGGTTATTCATAGTCATTGATGTTGTGAAGCCCTTGGCCTTTCCTCTTATTACTCACACAAGAAAATATTACGGCATTTTCTGAATATTTTAATAAAAAATAAAAATAAATTCCCAAAGAAGGAACTTGTTCCATTTGGGATCTTTTTCTTTTTTTCCCACCCTCAGGACGAAATCAAAAATATCTCAACTTTTCACCAACTTTTGATTGGGACATTTAAAAGAAGGAGTTTTTAAAATGTTGGTATAGTTTCTCTCATGCCCAATAAATGTACAGACCCAAACCAGCACTGCATTCTAAGTATTGTGTGTGTATTAAAGCCTGATATATCTCCAATGTTGTCCAGAAAACTATTTAGAACACATCAATGATCCACACTGTTGCTCTCCATTACCATTAACACTTGTTTATTTGGACTCAATCCCACAAACGCCAAATATTAATCCTCCAGTGAAAATAGTGCCAACCAAATCACTATTTCCTCCTGTTTGACTTTCTGCTTTTACTGAGGTTTAAACAAAAAAGAAAAATGAAACGATACATTTGTAAGCTATTTTTAAAGAACTACATCTTCAGTAAGAACTGATGGGTTTGGGGGAGGGACCTGCAGACATGAGAAGAAACTATATATTTAGAACAGCAAAATCTTCAAAATGGTGTGCATTCTGTGGGATGTAATGAATACTGCAGCCTGTAGGGCTTGATAAAATAGATTTATGTTTTAGTGTGCATTTCATGCTTCACTGTCTTTTAATGTAAAGTAAAGCTCTTTAATGTATTGTTGTCTTGTTCTGTCTTCCAGTGTATTCAGTGGGTGTGATTGGTGCAGCCATCTTCCTCATCCTGCTGCTGATTGGCCTCATCATCGCGGTCACAGTGGTCTGCTGCAAGCGCAGAAAGAAGGCTCTGAAAAGCGAAAAAGAAGGAGTGCCACTCCGGGATGTATAGAGTGTGTGTTCTATCACACACACGCGCACACCCACACACGCGCACACCCACACACACACACACAAATACACTGTGGTAACATGCGGTACAGCTGAACCGATCTAGTGCAACATTCCGCTGTCAAACACTGGAATCAATCCTTCCTTTAGTTTCTGTGAAACTGCCTCTGATTATGTTAGACATATTTAATGCTTTTATCATTTCATGCTGTTTGAACATTCCTACTGTAAGCTACACACTAGTCTGAGACTGTAATTTTCCATTTCTTTCTTTTATATTTGGTGAGTGGTACTGTGTGAGATGACTGTAGATTAGGACTACCAACTGATTTTATTTATTTCATTTAATATCACATTGGATTTTTGGGAGACTAGTGAAATCAAGACCTAGTATATAGTATTTTTGTATCTGCTGCTTAATTTATTGTGTTTAATTCAAATTAACATATTTGTATATGATGCAATTATTTGCTCTTTTATACTTCAGGTTGTTGCAGATCATTTTTATCATGTGGTGAGGTGTTGAAGAGGTAATAAATATTTTACAGAACAAGACCAAGTTGTATACTTCAAAAAAAAATATATATATATATGTATATATATATCTCTATTTCACTGTCAATACTGTTAAATGATGTTCAAGTCAAACTGGATAAGAAATCCTATATGTTCATCATCTATTTGTGTTTAGAATCATGGCAACCTGTAAAAACAGCACACAGGGATGACAATATTATTGACGGATCAATATTACATATACATATATACATATACATATATACATATACATAGATATACACATACATACATATACATAGATATACACATATATACATATACATATATATACATACATATATATATATATATACATACATATATATACATACATACATATACATACATACATATACATACATACATATACATACATACATATATATATAT